GGGTGACGCCAGGAACCCGTCAGGGCTGCTCCGGTGGCACCGGGGACTCGGCAGGGAGCAGGGAAGGAAGCAGGGGAAGCAGGAAGCAGGGGAAGCAGGAAGCAGGGGAAGCAGGAAGCAGGGGAAGGAGGAAGCAGGGGAAGCAGGAAGCAGCAGAAGCAGGAAGCAGGGGAAGCAGGAAGCAGGGGAAGCAGGAAGCAGGGGAAGCAGGAAGCAGGGGAAGCAGGAAAGCAGGAAGCAGGAAGCAGGGGAAGCAGGAAGCAGGGGAAGCAGGAAAGCAGGAAGCAGGGAAGCAGGAAGCAGGGGAAGCAGGAAGCAGGGGAAGCAGGAAGCAAGGGAAGCAGGAAGCAGGGGAAGCAGGAAGCAAGGGAAGCAGGAAGCAGGGGAAGCAGGAAGCAGGGGAAGCAGGAAGCAGGGGAAGCAGGAAGCAGGGGAAGCAGGAAAGCAGGAAGCAGGGAAGCAGGAAGCAGGGGAAGCAGGAAGCAGGGGAAGCAGGAAGCAAGGGAAGCAGGAAGCAGGGGAAGCAGGAAGCAAGGGAAGCAGGAAGCAAGGGAAGCAGGAAGCAGGGGAAGCAGGAAGCAAGGGAAGCAGGAAGCAGGAAGCAAGGGAAGCAGGAAGCAAGGGAAGCAGGAAGCAAGGGAAGCAGGAAGCAGGAAGCAAGGGAAGCAGGAAGCAGGGGAAGCAGGAAGCAAGGGAAGCAGGAAGCAGGAAGCAAGGGAAGCAGGAAGCAGGGAGCAAGGGAAGCAAGAAGCAGGGGAAGCAGGAAGCAAGGGAAGCAGGGGAAGCAGGAAGCAAGGGAAGCAGGAAGCAGGAAGCAAGGGAAGAAGGAAGCAAGGGAAGCAGGAAGCAAGGGAAGCAGGAAGCAAGGGAAGCAGGGGAAGGAGGAAGCAGGGGAAGCAGGAAGCAGGGGAAGCAGGAAGCAGGGGAAGCAGGAAGCAGGGGAAGCAGGAAGCAAGGGAAGCAGGAAGCAAGGGAAGCAGGAAGCAAGGGAAGCAGGAAGCAAGGGAAGCAGGAAGCAGGAAGCAAGGGAAGCAGGAAGCAAGGGAAGCAGGAAGCAGGGGAAGCAGGAAGCATCCCATGGTGGGATACATGGATGGCACCGGAGGCATCCCAATGGAGACAGCCTATGGGCCCGAGGTGCTCCGGGAGCTCCTGCCCAGGCACACGAGGAGCTTCCCACTGAATTCCCACTCCCGAGCTGGGAAAGCTGCTGCCCGTCATCCAAACACATCCAATGGATCCCGACAGCCCGGAGCACGCAGGGATCTGATGGAGCCGGAGAGCTGGGAGCACGCAGGGATCTGATGGATCCCGACAGCCTGGAGCATGCAGGGATCTGATGGATCCGGATAGCTGGGAGCACGCAGGGATCTGATGGATCCCAATGGCTGGGAGCACGCAGGGATCTGATGGATCCTGACAGCTGGGAGCACGCAGGGATCTGATGGATCCCAATGGCTGGGAGCACGCAGGGATCTGATGGATCCTGACAGCTGGGAGCACGCAGGGATCTGATGGATCCCAATGGCTGGGAGCACGCAGGGATCTGATGGATCCCAATGGCTGGGAGCACGCAGGGATCTGATGGATCCCAATGGCTGGGAGCACGCAGGGATCTGATGGATCCAGAGAGATGGGAGCACACAGGGATCTGATGGATCCGGATAGCTGGGAGCACGCAGGGATCTGATGGATCCAGAGAGCCGGGAGCACGCTGGGATCTGATGGATCCGGATAGCTGGGAGCACGCAGGGATCTGATGGATCCAGAGAGATGGGAGCACGCAGGGATCTGATGGATCCGGATAGCTGGGAGCACGCAGGTATCTGATGGATCCAGAGAGCCGGGAGCACGCTGGGATCTGATGGATCCGGATAGCTGGGAGCACGCAGGTATCTGATGGATACCAACAGCCGGGAGCACGCAGGGATCTGATGGATCCCAATGGCTGGGAGCACGCAGGGATCTGATGGATCCAGAGAGCTGGGAGCACGCAGGGATCTGATGGATCCCAATGGCCAGGAGCACACAGGGATCTGATGGATCCTGACAGCTGGGAGCACGCAGGGATCTGATGGATCCAGAGAGCCGGGAGCACACAGGGATCTGATGGATCCCAATGGCCGGGAGCACACAGGGATCTGATGGATCCTGACAGCTGGGAGCAAGCAGGGATCTGATGGACCCAGAGAGCTGGGAGCACGCAGGGATCTGATGGATCCCAATGGCTGGGAGCACGCAGGGATCTGATGGATACCAACAGCCGGAAGCATGCAGGGATCTGATGGATCCGGATAGCTGGGAGCACGCTGGGATCTGATGGATCCCAACAGCCAGGAGCACGCAGGGATCTGATGGATCCCAACAGCCGGGAGCACGCAGGGATCTGATGGATCCCAATGGCCGGGAGCACGCAGGGATCTGATGGATCCTGAGAGCTGGGAGCACGCAGGGATCTGATGGATCCCAATGGCCGGGAGCACGCAGGGATCTGATGGATCCCAACAGCCGGGAGCACGCAGGGATCTGATGGATCCCGACAGCTGGGAGCACGCAGGGATCTGATGGATCCCAAGGGCTGGGAGCACGCAGGGATCTGATGGATCCCAATGGCCGGGAGCACGCAGGGATCTGATGGATCCCCACAGCCGGGAGCACGCAGGGATCTGATGGATCCTGACAGCCGGGAGCACGCAGGGATCTGATGGATCCCCACAGCCGGGAGCACGCAGGGATCTGATGGATCCTGACAGCCGGGAGCACGCAGGGATCTGATGGATCCAGAGAGCCGGGAGCACGCAGGGATCTGATGGATCCAGAGAGCACGCAGGGATCTGATGGATCCCAACGGCCGGGAGCACGCAGGGATCTGATGGATCCTGACAGCCGGGAGCACGCAGGGATCCGATGGATCCTGAGAGCTGGGAGCACGCAGGGATCTGATGGATCCCAATGGCCGGGAGCACGCAGGGATCTGATGGATCCTGACAGCTGGGAGCACGCAGGGATCTGCCTGGGACCTGCCTGGGGTATTCCCAAGGCCAGGAGTGCAGGGATGAACACAAGAGAGGGGATGGAGACATGGGGGGGGGGGGGGATGGACACGGGATATGGGGGGAGGAGAACGGGGGGGGGATCAGCACGGGAGGGAGGAGGGACGGGGCCGTGGGGAGGGGGGACAGGAGGGCTGGGAATGGGCACGGAGCCTTCCTCCCGCTCCTCCTCCTCCAGGCACAAACCGGAGCCTCCCCCCCTTCCCCGCCGCTCTGAGGCCGTTACCGGTGTCCGGGGGAGGGAGCCGCTGCCGGGGCCTTCCTCCCGCTCCTCCTCCTCCTCCTCGGAGCCGGTGCTGTCGGAGCCGGAGTCCTCCAGCCCTGAGTACTCGCTCTCCTCGCTCTCCGTGAGCTCCTCGCTGCCCGCCGATGGACGCGGCTGGAACGGACGGGGCCGGAGCGGGGTCAGGGCCCGGCGGGGCCATGGGGGCCGGCTCCCAGCCCCACAGCCAGCCCCACAGCGAGCCCCACAGGCAGCCCCACAGGCAGCCCCACAGCGAGCCACACAGCGAGCCCCACAGCCAGCCCCACAGCCAGCCCCACAGAGAGCCCCACAGCCAGCCCCACAGCCAGCCCCACAGCCAGCTCCACAGGCAGCCCCACAGGCAGCCCCACAGCCAGCTCCACAGGCAGCCCCACAGCCAGCCCCACAGCCAGCCCCACAGCCAGCCCCACAGCCAGCCCCACAACCAGCCCCACAGCCAGCCCCACAGCCAGCTCCACAGCCAGCCCCACAACCAGCCCCACAACCAGCCCCACAGCCAGCTCCACAGCCAGCCCCACAACCAGCCCCACAGCCAGCCCCACAGAGAGCCCCACAGCCAGCTCCACAGGCAGCCCCACAGCCAGCCCCACAGGCAGCCCCACAACCAGACCCACAACCAACCCCACAGCCAGCCCCACAGCGAGCCACACAGCGAGCCCCACAGCTAGCCCCACAGCCAGCCCCACAGCCAGCCCCACAGCGAGCCACACAGGGAGCCCCACAGCCAGCCCCACAGCCAGCCCCACAGAGAGCCCCACAGCCAGCCCCACAGGCAGCCCCACAGCCAGCTCCACAGGCAGCCCCACAGGCAGCCCCACAGCCAGCTCCACAGGCAGCCCCACAGGCAGCCCCACAGCCAGCCCCACAGCCAGCCCCACAGCGAGCCCCACAGCGAGCCCCACAGCCAGCCCCACACCGAGTCCCACAGCGAGCCCCACAGCCAGCCCCACACCGAGTCCCACAGCGAGCCCCACAGCCAGCCCCACAACCAACCCCACAGCCAGCCCCACAACCAACCCCACAGCCAGCCCCACAGCGAGTCCCACAGCCAGCCCCACAACCAACCCCACAGCGAGCCCCACAGCGAGCCCCACAGCCAGCCCCACAGCTAGCCCCACAGCGAGTCCCACAGCCAGCCCCACAACCAACCCCACAGCCAGCCCCACAGCGAGTCCCACAGCCAGCCCCACAGCGAGCCCCACAGCGAGCCCCACAGCGAGGCCCACAGCCAACCCCACAGCGAGTCCCACAGCCAGCCCCACAACCAACCCCACAGCCAACCCCACAGCGAGTCCCACAGCCAGCCCCACAACCAACCCCACAGCCAGCCCCCCAGGCCTCGGCCAGGCCCCGTCCCCATGGCAACGCGCCCCTACCTCCGCCATGGCCCCTCCGCCGCCGACCGAAGCACCACGTGCGCGCGGGTCAGAGGTCACCCCCTCGCCGCAGCCGTGCGCAGGCGCCTGTGCTGCCGCGCATGCGCAAAGCGGGCTCCCGCAGGACAGCGTCTACGCGCGCGTGTCCCCTCCCACCGGCGCGCCGGGTGGGCGGTGCCACGCATGCGCCGTGGCGGCAGAGGGGCGTCCCAAGATGGCGGCGGCCATGCTGGGATCCGGTGCGCTCCGTACGCAGGCCGCGGCCCGGCTCCGCGGCGGCTCCCGGGCGCTCTGAGGCCTCCGCCGCCGCCATGGAAGGCCCCGGGGCCGCGGCCCCCGGCGGGGGGAACGTGCCCGCCTTCCTCACCAAGCTCTGGACGCTCGTGGAGGACCCGGACACGGACGCGTTGATTTGCTGGAGCCCGGTGAGTGCCCCGGAGGGACCGGGTAAAGCCGCGCCTGCACCGGGGCCTCCCCTGCGCTGGGGGCACGAGGAGGGCGGCCGGGAGCAGAGCCCAGCCCCTCCTGGCTCCATCCTCCTCTCAGGCACTTGGAGGGAGCCATCAGGTCCCCCCTGAGCCTTCCCTTCCCCATCTGAACCCCCCAGCTCTGTGCCGTGTTTCCAGCCGTGAGCAGGAGACTTGAGGGGACGTTGGGAATGGCCTGAGCCTGCCCAAGGGGAGGCTGAGCTGAGCTCTGAGGCAGAAGCTCTTCCCTGTGAGGGTGCTGAGGCGCTGGCACAGGGTGCCCAGAGAAGCTGTGGCTGCCCCATCCCTGGCAGTGTTCAAGGCCAGGTTGGACACAGGGGCTTGGAGCACCCTGCTCCGGTGCAAGGGGTCCCTGCCCTGGCAGGGAATGGAATTGGATCAGCTTCAAGGACCATTCCATGCCCTGCTCCAAGCTGCTTCAGATCCACAGCCACACTTGTGTGCTGCTTTTACACCCTGTGAGCTGAGCTCCCGCACCTGCTGCACCCCATGGCCCCCCCACACCAGAGGGGTTTATCAGCACAGCGGAGCCCTGCTGGGACCTGGACTGAGGACGTTGGGGCCGTTGAGCCTGGAGAAGAGAAGCTGGAGGGAGACCTCAGAGCAGCTCCCAGTGTGTGAAGGGGGCTATAGGGATGCTGGGGAGGGACTCTTCATTGGGGACTGCAGGGACAGGACAAGGGGTAACGGGTTCAAACTGAAACAGGGGGAGTTTAGATTGGATCTAAGGAGGAAATTCGTTCCTGTGAGGGTGCTGAGGCACTGGAATGGGTTGCCCAGGGAGGCTGGGAATGCTCCATCCCTGGCGGTGTCCAAGGCCAGGTTGGACAGAGCCTTGGGTGCCATGGTTTAGGGTGAGGTGTCCCTGCCCATGGCAGGGGGTTGGAACTGGCTGAGCTTCAGGTCCTTTCCGACCCCAACCATTCTATGATTCTATGCCTCCTCCTTGTACTTCCATGGGGTTCAGCACCGTGGAGCCTGCCCTGAAGAGCCCATTCCCTTCCCAGCGCCGAGGCCCAGGTGAGGGGGATGCTCTCGGGTGCAGGGGCTGGTCCCTGGCTGCTGGAGCAGCTCCTGGCCTTAGCTCAGCAGCGTTGACCTTGGCTCTGCTGGGGCTTTAGGGATGTGCCTCTGAGGGGGTGGGAGCCTCCCTGCCTCCTCCCCTGCTGCTGCAGCTTCACCCTGGAGCCTTCCCCCCGTGCTAAAGCTCATCTCTTCCCCCCATGGCGCGCACGCAGGATGCGGCCGGGCCCCACAGGATGCGGGGGAGCTCCCCGGGGGTCCATCCTCAGAGAGCCCTGTGCTGGGCCCCAGGGACTGAGCTGCCATGGGGGAGGTTTGGGCTGGAGCGGGATGCTCCTTCCATCACCCTGCAGCTGGAACGGGGCAGGGACTGAAGGGAGCCCGTGGGGAAGGGGAATTTCATCCCTGGAGTCCAGAGATCCATGGAATGGGGGTGCTGGAAGGGACCTTAAAGAGGGAGAGGAGTTGGGTGGGATCTTGGGAAGCTCTTCCCTGTGAGGGTGCCCACGGAAGCTGGGGCTGCCCCATGCCTGGACACGGGGGCTCGGAGCACCCATTGGGAACTGGATCAGAATCATGGAATACTTTGGGTTAGGAGGGGCCTTCGCAGCTCATCCAGTCCAGCCCCTGCCAGGAGCAGAGCCATCTCCCCCCACGTTAAAGGGGAGCTCTGGAGGCCCCATCCCACCCGGCCTGGCCTGGCCCTGCTGCTCTTCCCTTGCACTCCCTGGTCCTCCTCCAGCGCCCTGCGTGGTGCTCATACAAGGGGGGAGCTGAGCAGGGGCTGGCTCCGGAGCAGGACTGGGTCACAGCAGGAAATCCAGGTTGGGAAAACGCCGCTGGAATTCTTTGCCAGGAGGGAAAATCCCCTCTGGTTGCTGTGGTGTGGATGCTCTGGCTGCCAGGAGCTGATGGGGAAGTGGCTCCCGTGGATCCCCACCCTGCTCCAGCACTCAGTGCTTGCCAGGCCCCACTCAAGCTCAGCCCCCAGGACCCAAAGCACCTCAGGCTTCCATGGCTCCCCCTCCCTTGTCCTGCTTCCTCCATCAACCCATAGCAGGCACTTAACAGGCAGGATGGAGCCTCTTCCCTTCCACAGCAAGGCACGTCTTGGTCTGACCCTCCTCTCAAGGATACGGGATTGCCTTGGTTTGTGTCGTGGTTCAACCCTACCCCAGTGAAAGCAGGACGGTTACTGGTGGCTGTTGGTGTTTGACCTCAGCCTGGCTCCCCTGGCTTCATTTGGCCTCACTGGGCTGTGACCAGCTGAGGTTCCACGAATGCTGGGGCACTGGAATGGGCTGAAAGGAGGAGCTGGGGCTGCCCCAGCCCTGGCAGTGCTCAAGGCCAGGTTGGACCCAGGGGCTCTGAGCACCCTGCTCCTTAAGCTCCAACCCAACCCATTCCATGCCCCCACGACGTGGGGTGGGGGGGGGTGCTTCTCCCTGTCTGTGTACCAGAGCTTGATCCCCTTCCCTTTCCCCTCTTTCTCCGGCAGAGTGGAAGCAGCTTCCATGTGTTTGACCAGGGCCAGTTTGCCAAGGAGGTGCTCCCAAAGTACTTCAAACACAACAACATGGCCAGCTTCGTGCGGCAGCTCAACATGTGTAAGTAGCTCCTGGGCCGAGGCTGGGCTTCCTCCTGGTGTGTGCTCCATGGCTCCGAGTGTTCCAATGCTCTGGGAGTTCCATTTGCATCCCACTCCCCTTCTGGGGGGGGACCAAGTGGTGGCATCCAGACCTGGAATCTCCTGCTGCATCCAGGGCACTTGAGGCTCTTGGGTTCTGGCATTCCCTGATTACCACAGGGGATGTGGGGGGCAATAACAGCATCCAGACCTGGAATCTCCTCCTGCATCCAGGGCACTTGAGGCTCTTGGGTTCTGGCATTCCCTGATTATCACAGGGGATCTGGGATGTGGGGGGCAATAACAGCATCCAGACCTGGAATCTCCTCCTGCATCCAGGGCACTTGAGGCTCTTGGGTTCCTCTGGCATTCCCTGATTATCACAGGGGATGTGGGGGGCAATAACAGCATCCAGACCTGGGATCTCCTCCTGCATCCAGGGCACTTGAGGCTCTTCGGTTCTGGCATTCCCTGATTATCACAGGGGATCTGGGATGTGGGGGGCAATAACAGCATCCAGCCCTGGAATCTCCTCCTGCATCCAGGCCACTTGAGGCTCTTGGGTTCCTCTGACACTCCCTGGTTACCACAGGGGATCCATCAGTCCTTTTGCCATGCTGGCTCCTGGGGGCTGCTTCCTGGGGACAGCCCCCCCACATGGGACACCTTGTTTGTCTTCTGCTCGTGTCCTCGAGGGGACATCAGTGCTGGAGGTGTGGAGCCAGCCCTGCTTGAACTCTACCAAACAGAGGCTTCAAGCTGCTCCAGCTCCAAGCCCTTCCCCTTCCCCTGGAGCAGGGTGCTCCGAGCCCCTGTGTCCAACCTGCCCTTGAGCACTGCCAGCGATGGGGCAGCCCCAGCTTCTCCCTTCAAGCCCTTCCAGTGCCCCAGCACCCTCAGTGCTCTGCTGCGGGGCTGGAGGAGCACCTCGGTGCTGGGCCTCATCCTGCGCAGCTCTTTGCCAAGGCTCCAGGCACTGGCATCCCTGCGCTCCCCAGGGAAGGATGGGGAAGCAGGAGTTGGTTGCGTGTGTCTGACCCGGAGCTGTTGCCTGCAGCTGGAATCCCCCACTCACATCCTGCCCCTGGGGGTGCCGGGGGAGGATTTGTTCCTTTGCAAACATCAGGACTGTATCCCTGGAGCCGTGATCCCTCCCTTCAGTTTCCCCCCTTTCTCCCCAGCCTGGGTCCATGGCCCCAAGCCAGGGCCAGGACCTTGCCCTTGTTGAGCCCCAGGAGGTTCCCACCTCTGCATTCCCTCTGGATCCCTTCCCTCCAGTGTGTTCCCCCCCCAGCATCTTCCTCTCCTCTCCCCCCTGCCGGTTCCTCCCCCCTCTTTCCCCGTGTTTCCAGGCTGCTCCATCCCCTTTTCCCCTTCTAACCCCGGAGGAATTCGAGGGCTGCCTGATGGGAGCCCGCACTCGCAGCAGCTCCTCCCTGCAGCTCTTGGGAATGCTGTGGGATTAACCCAGAGCCGCTGCTTCCTCCCGTGCATCCAGGGATAACAGGGACGAGGAGGACGCCTCTCACCCCCTCCCACGTGGAGGGATTAACGGGAATGCTCCAGATGTGGGCTGCAGAGGGCATTCCAATGGGATTAGGAGGGATGAGGGTTTCATTGCCTTTCAACACCAGCTCTCATGAAGAGCCTCCGGAACGGGGCGTTCAGTTCTTAGGGATGATCCCGGCTCAAGGCTTCAGTGCAGAGCTTCTCCCTCCGCTCCCGAGGCTGGAATTCCCAGCCTGTGGAATTCTGCCCCTTCCCCCCGTGTGCAGCAGAGGACTGCACCATCACCCAGCCAGGAGGCTGTCCCGCTGACCAGCAGTGGGCATAGCAGGGAGCGGTGCCTGTGCCCGCAGCTCAGGGAGCTGCTTGGAACCGGGATGGGATTTATTGTGGGGTGCAATGGGGAAAACCCTGCGGGATGGGATTCTTTGGGTGCTGTAGAGTGGTTACAAACACAGTTTAGGGCCTTGGCGTGAGGGTGAGGGCATCGAGAACCTCAACATCAGGGGATGGCTTGGGTGCAAAGGGACCTTAAAGCTCCTCCAGCTCCAACCCCTACCAGGGCAGGGTCCCCTTCCCCTGGAGCAGGGTGCTCCGAGCCCCTGTGTCCAAGCTGCCCTTGAGCACTGCCAGGGATGGAGCATCCCAAACCTCTCCCTTCAACCCCTGCCATGGGGAAGAACTCCCCAAGCTCCCATCAACTCTTCCCTCTTCCTCCTCCTCCCATCCCTGCCTCCCTTGTCCCAAGGCTCCCTGCAGCCCCTTCAGGCACTGGAGCTGCTCTCGGCTCTCCCCTTCAGGAGCCTTCTCCCAGCCTGGCTCCAGCCCCATGGCCTCATCCAGACTCACCCCAGCATCTCCAGGTCCCTCTGGTGCTGCTGCCCCAGAGCTGGACCTTGCAGCAGGCTCAGCAGAAGCCTCTGCCTCAGCTCCATCAGCCTCAGGAAGGGTTTCTCATTCCATATCCCCTTTCAGGATGGGCTTTCTTAGAAGGCAGTGGCACGGGGATGGAGCCCAAGGGTGACCTCTGCCTGCTTCTGCTTCCTCGAGTTCAGACTCAGCCCGTTAAGCTTTGCTTCACTTGCCTCCCCTTTGCTTTTCAGATGGCTTTCGCAAGGTTGTCCACATTGAGCAGGGAGGACTGGTGAAGCCAGAGAAAGACGACACGGAGTTCCAGCATCCCTACTTCATCCGAGGGCAGGAGCACCTCCTGGAGAACATCAAGAGGAAAGTAACCAGCGTAAGTTACTGCTGTAGATCCTTTGGGGTGAGCTTCAGCTGAACTGCTCCAAAAAGCCTTGGTGTGCTCCAAGGCTGACGTACAACCATGGCATCAGCTGCGTTGGAAAAGCCCTTTAAGCTCACCCAGTCCAACCATTCCCACCCCTGCCAAGGCCATCGCTGCCCCATGGCACTGAGGGGGTGTGAGCACTCGCAGGGATGGTGCCTGCAGCCCTGCCCCGGGCAGCCTCTTCCAATGCCTGAGCACCCTCTGGGGCAGGAATTGTTCCTCAGCTCCATCTAACCCTGCCCTGGGGCAGCTTGAGGCCGGTTCCTCTTGTCCCATCCCTTGTTCCTTGGGAGCAGAGCCCAGCCCCTCCTGGCTCCATCCTCCTGGCAGGCACTTGGAGGGAGCCATCAGGTCCCCCCTGAGCCTTCCCTTCCCCATCTGAACCCCCCAGGTCCCTCAGCCCTTCCCCATCACCCCTGTGCTCCAGGCCCTGCTCCAGCTCCATTCCCTTCTCCGGCCCCACTCCAGCACCTCAAGGTCTCTCTTGCAGTGAGGGGCCCGGAGCCGAGCACAGGATCCAAGGTGCAGCCTCCGGGTGCTGGGACTGAGGCAGAGCTCCTCCATCCTCCCTGCCTTTCATTTCCGTGTCAGCTTCCCCATCCCTTGGGGTCAGTGCCGTGTTCCTCACGCACATCCCACCAGACCTGGGCGCATGGGGGCTCTTCCCAGCCACTGCTGAGCTTTGGAGTCTTCCTCTGGGACTTCTCGAGGGCATTCCCCATGAGCACAAGTGACTGAGCTCCTTTCACACTCAGTCCTTTCCCCTGGACTTGTAAGGTCCCTCCAGCCAAACCAGGCTGGGATTCAGTGCTCCTTTTATGAGAGCAGTGAAACCCCTCTGCTCGGAGCCTTCTCCTCGCCTGCTTCCACGCTTGCAGCGGAGGTGATGGGGGACCTCTGCAAGGGGGCTCTTGGTGTTTGTGCTCCCCGTTTTCCTCCTTGGAGCAGCTCTTCCTGCATTGCTGCTCATGAGAATTCCCTTCAGTGCACCCAGCAGAGGCCTTCAGAGGGTGGGAGAAGCCTCTCAAGCGCCGATGCTCTCCCTGGGCTGCGGCATTGCCCTGCCTGAGAGCATCTGGGTCTGCTCCCTGTCGCAAGGTCTGTGTAAGCGCACAGCTCTGACCTGGACGCTGCATTCCTGGGCCAGGAGCACCTGGGTTTGCTCAGACTGGGAGAGAATTCCCTGTTTTGGAGCAGGAATGAGCTTGCTCTGCAGGTGGCTGGGTTCAGCCTCGGCCCAGGCTCCTGGGGTGGGCGCAGCTGGGGGTGATGGATGCGGCTCAGTGTCGGGCTGAAGCATCCCTGAGCTCCCGGGGGCTCAGCATCAGCGCCCTCTCCTCTGCCTCCAGGTATCCAGCATCAAGAACGAGGACATAAAGGTCCAGCAGGACAACGTAACCAAGCTGCTGACTGACATCCAGGTGATGAAGGGGAAGCAGGAGAGCATGGACTCCAAGCTGATCGCCATGAAGCAGTATGTATGTGTGGAGGTGGGGGGGTTGGACCAGTGCAGACCAGTTTGCCCAGTGCTTTCTCTCCTTCTCTGAGAGAAGGCTTCTTCTCCATCCCAACCTCTGCTTGTCCCAGGGTACAGCCTGGGATTTAGGGTGCTTTCTGCTTAGGAAGGGGTGGTGGAGGGACCTGGTGTGAGAGCAGGCAGGCCGGTGACCCCAGCCACGGGGTAAAGATGCTTTGGAGAACAGCTCTGCCTTGAGGGAAGGCTTCAGGACCTTCCTGTCCTTCCATAGGGATGGATCTGCAGTGTCAGTGCGTGGTGCTGGGAGCTCCCTGGCACGGCCTTTGGGTTTTCCTGCCTTGGGGCACACCTGGCTCTCGTCCTGTACCACAGCAGGGTCTTTGGGTTGGTTTGGATAACATTTGCTCTCCTGTCCTGGTGCTTCTTGCTCCGGGCTCTTGATTCCCTGCTTGCAGCCAGGTAAATTCCCGATGGATTTTGGCACTGGCACAGCTGTGGCTGCCCCATCCCTGCTCAAGGCACAGGGGCTTGGAGCACCCTGCTCCAATGGAAGGGGTCCTTGCCCACGGCACGGATTGGAGCTGGAGGAGCTCCCTCCAACCCAACCCATTCCCTGCTTCCCTGCTTTCTGTGCCTTTGGCAGCCCTGTGGCAGGTTTGAGGTGAAACACCCAGGCTCGTGTCCCTCTGTGAGGATGAGAGCACCCAGCAGAGCATCCCAGGGCTCCCGAGTGCCTTCGGGCTGCTCCTTTGGCATGGAGCATGCATGGGCACCACTGATGGTACTCGCTGGGTACCAGCCTCCCAAAGCTCCTCTTGACCCCTTCACTGGGTTTGCACTGCTGGGAGCCCATTGGGTGCTGCGAGCCTGCCTTTGGGCAGCCTTCATCCCGAGGAGGATGCCTGGGGGTGCTTCATTCTTCCTGCTTCCCCATCCAGCAGAGCCAGGAGGAACTTGGGTCTTGTGTGGGCTCTGCATAGCTTTAGGGTTCACACTGAAATGTGGGCTCAAAGGGGAACAGGGGAGAGATTTGGGCTGGATATGAGGAGGTTTTTCCCTTTGAGGCTCTCCGTGCCATGGGTCGGGGTGGCCTTGGCAGTGCTGGGGTAAGGGTTGGGCTGGATGATCCTGAAGGGCTTTTCCAGCCTGCTTGATCCCATGGCTTTGTGATGGTGTGGGAAGAGCAAAGCTCATCCCAATGGAGAGCCTGGATTGGTGCTGGGATTGTGTCCCTGCTGCTGCACATCCCAATGGAGAGCCAGGATTGGTGCTGGGATTGTGTCCCTGCTGCTGCACATCCCAATGGAGACCCAGGATTGGTGCTGGGATTGTGTCCCTGCTGCTGCAATGGAGACCCAGGATTGGTGCTGGGATTGTGTCCCTGCTGCTGCACATCCCAATGGAGACCCAGGATTGGTGCTGGGATTGTGTCCCTGCTGCTCCACATCCCAATGGAGAACCTGGATTGGTGCTGGGATTGTGTCCCTGCTGCTCCACATCCCAATGGAGAACCAGGATTGGTGCTGGGATTGTGTCCCTGCTGCTGCACATCCCAATGGAGACCCAGGATTGGTGCTGGGATTGTGTCCCTGCTGCTGCACATCCCAATGGAGAGCCAGGATTGGTGCTGGGATTGTGTCCCTGCTGCTGCACATCCCAATGGAGACCCAGGATTGGTGCTGGGATTGTGTCCCTGCTGCTCCACATCCCAATGGAGACCCAGGATTGGTGCTGGGATTGTGTCCCTGCTGCTCCACATCCCAATGGAGACCCAGGATTGGTGCTGGGATTGTGTCCCTGCTGCTCCACATCCCAGTGGAGACACAGGATTGGTGCTGGGATTGTGTCCCTGCTGCTGCACATCCCAATGGAGAACCAGGATTGGTGCTGGGATTGTGTCCCTGCTGCTGCACATCCCAATGGAGACCCAGGATTGGTGCTGGGATTGTGTCCCTGCTGCTGCAATGGAGACCCAGGATTGGTGCTGGGATTGTGTCCCTGCTGCTGCACATCCCAATGGAGACCCAGGATTGGTGCTGGGATTGTGTCCCTGCTGCTCCACATCCCAATGGAGACCCAGGATTGGTGCTGGGATTGTGTCCCTGCTGCTCCACATCCCAATGGAGAACCAGGATTGGTGCTGGGATTGTGTCCCTGCTGCTGCACATCCCAATGGAGACCCAGGATTGGTGCTGGGATTGTGTCCCTGCTGCTCCACATCCCAATGGAGACCCAGGATTGGTGCTGGGATTGTGTCCCTGCTGCTCCACATCCCAATGGAGACCCAGGATTGGTGCTGGGATTGTGTCCCTGCTGCTCCACATCCCAATGGAGAACCAGGATTGGTGCTGAGATTGTGTCCCTGCTGCTGCACATCCCAATGGAGACCCAGGATTGGTGCTGGGATTGTGTCCCTGGGCTTGGTTTGGCTCCTGTGTTCTCCTCAGCTGCCTCTGTGGATATTTCACTGTCTGAAAATGGCTTTTTTTGCCCTTGTTTCACCTTTTTTACCTTTTTTTTTGCCTTCTTTTGCCTTCTTTTGCCTTTTTTTTTTGCCTTCTTTTTTTTGCCTTTTTTTTTTACTTTTTTTCCCTTTTTTTGCCTTTTTTTGTTTTATTTTGCCTTTTTTGCCCTCTTTTGCCTTTTTTTGCTTTTTTTACCCTTTTTTACCCTTTTTTTTCCTTTTTTTTGCCTATTTTACCTTTTTTTTGCCCCGTTTTTCCCTATTTTGCCTGTTTTTTTTCACCTCGTTCCCCCCAGGTGAAATCCCTTGCAGCACACCAGGACCAAACCCCCTTGTGCAGGCGAGCATCGAGGCCCCGAGTGCGGGTTCGGACCTGCTCCGGACGCCTCCTTCCAGCCCATCCCTTTGGGCTTCCCAGGCAACCCCAGCACGGATCCAGGCTGGAGCCTGCGGAGCAGGACCCGGGGTGCTGGGGGAGGAGGAGCTCAACACGACCCCATCCCTGCCCGTGCCCAAGGCGCGGTTGGATGGAGCTCGGAGCAGCTTTAAGCTCCCTTCATCCCACCCCGTTCCATGATTCCATGGCCTCCAGCCGCCTGATCCCGCTCCCAGCGCGGGTTCGCGTTCCAGGCATCGCTGCTGCCTCCCTCCCAGTGCTTTTCCCTCCTCGTTTCTTTCCAATTATTGGAATTCCACCCGGAAGCATGCTTGGAAAGCCTGGCCCCAGCGCTCGGGATCGGGATCGGGATCGGCTCCATCCCTCCCTCCATCACCCAGCAGGGAGCATTGGGACCCAGCTTGGAAAGCCCGGCCCCAGCGCTCGGGATCGGGATCGGCTTCAGCTCCATCCCTCCCTCCATCACCCAGCAGGGAGCATTGGGACCCAGCTTGGAAAGCCCGGCCCCAGCGCTCGGGATCGGGATCGGCTTCAGCTCCATCCCTCCCTCCATCACCCAGCAGGGAGCAGTCATTGGGACCCAGCTTGGAAAGCCCGGCCCCAGCGCTCGGGAGCGGGATCGGCTTCAGCTCCATCCCTCCCTCCCTCCATCACCCAGCAGGGAGCATTGGGACCCAGCTTGGAAAGCCCGGCCCCAGCGCTCGGGATCGGGATCGGCTTCGGCTCCATCCCTCCCTCCATCACCCAGCAGGGAGCATTGGGACCCAGCTTGGAAAGCCCGGCCCCAGCGCTCGGGATCGGGATCGGCTCCATCCCTCCCTCCATCACCCAGCAGGGAGCATTGGGACCCAGCTTGGAAAGCCCGGCCCCAGCGCTCGGGAGCGGGATCGGCTTCGGCTCCATGCCTCCCTCCATCACCCAGCAGGGAGCAGTCATTGGGACCCAGCTTGGAAAGCCCGGCCCCAGCGCTCGGGATCGGGATCGGCTTCAGCTCCATCCCTCCCTCCATCACCCAGCAGGGAGCAGTCATTGGGACCCAGCTTGGAAAGCCCGGCCCCAGCGCTCGGGATCGGGATCGGCTTCGGCTCCATCCCTCCCTCCATCACCCAGCAGGGAGCAGTCGCTCCTTGTGCTCGGCTTTGAGCCCCGGTTGCTCTTGGCTCCCGTTCTGCTTCCTCGCTCCTGGAGCAGGGCCTCGGCCAAGCCAAACGTTTCCTCGTGCTTTTCCCACGTGGAAGGGGCTGGGTTTCCAGCTGAGGATCCCGCTCGGAGCCGGCCCTGGCAGGCACCCAACAGAAGCCTCTTGCCCAGCTCCAGCTCCAGCTCCAGCAGGGTCTTGCTGTTAAGTCCCCATCCCTTGCGTGGTACCGCACGGGTTGAGAGTCACGGAGCCATGGGATGGGTTGGGATGAAGGGAGCTTGAAGCTCCTCCAGCCCCAGCCACGGGCAGGGACGTGCAATGGGGACGTGCAATGGGGACGTGCAATGGGGACGTGCAATGGGGGATGTGCAATGGGGACGTGCAATGGGGACGTGCAATGGGGACGTGCAATGGGGACGTGCAATGGGGACGTGCAATGGGGGATGTGCAATGGGGGACGTGCAATGGGGACGTGCAATGGGGACGTGCAATGGGGACGTGCAATGGGGACGTGCAATGGGGACGTGCAATGGGGACGTGCAATGGGGACGTGCAATGGGGACGTGCAATGGGGACGTGCAATGGGGACGTGCAATGGGGACGTGCAATGGGGACGTGCAATGGGGGATGTGCAATGGGGATGTGCAATGGGGATGTGCAATGGGGATGTGCAATGGGGGACGTGCAATGGGGACGTGCAATGGGGACGTGCAATGGGGGATGTGCAATGGGGACGTGCAATGGGGGATGTGCAATGGGGACTTGCAATGGGGGACGTGCAATGGGGACGTGCAATGGGGACGTGCAATGGGGACGTGCAATGGGTACATACAATGGGGATGTGCAATGGGGGATGTGCAATGGGGACGTGCAATGGGGACGTGCAATGGGGACATACAATGGGGGACGTGCAATGGGGACATACAATGGGGGATGTGCAATGGGGACGTGCAATGGGTACATACAATGGGGATGTGCAATGGGAATGTGCAATG